TTGCAATTATTTATTTTCTGCACCATTATGCCATGATACATTATCAGCAGTCATGTAGATAGTTTCAGGTACTCTATCTATAACCTTTATAAAGGGTATAAGGTAGGGTTGATGGATTTCTGTTGTATATTGGTTGGCATTGAAACTAAGTCTATCTCCCTTGCTTGTCCTCTCCTTCTCAGTCCTCTTTCTGACAAGAATCAATTCTGCCATTCCTCCATGCATCGTTGTAGCATATACTCCTATATTGGTGTATCCTTACTTAAAGCTAGACTCTAAGTTCTTCTCTTCCCACTCTTCACCTAGTCTGAGTCTGATATTTCTCCCAACTGGATTTGGATCATATTCAATTTTGGCTTCATCTACAAAAGCAACCTATTTCCAAGCTCTTCTCCAGTTCCTCCTCACACTAGCAAACTTCTTTCTCTTCTCCTTCTGTCCTTTCCTCCAAAATGACTTTTTTCTAAGAATCTTAAGCTTAAAACCAGCTTTTGCAGATATCCTTTTAATAGTGTCTTTTTTAAGTTCTACCTTGATTTTTTGGGTAATATCTCTGTGTGGTAAATGAGGCTCAGTATTAATAATACCAAGGACTATCTGCCTTTTGCCATCAGTAATCTTGGTTGGTCTGGCAGATCTGGGGGCATCATTGGTATTTCAATCTCTTAATTTCGCATTTTTGAGTACACTTTAAACAGTTGACATGGAGAGTTTCAGAAGCTTGGAAATTTTATGATATCCCATATCAGTATGTTTATATAGGGCATAAATTTCCTTATTTCTGTCTTCTCTGGCTCTTCTGGAACATGGTGGTGCCATAGTGGGGTGGAGATGTAGGAGTGATCGTTCGTTGTACCGTTGCCAAGTGGGGGGTATGAAAGCTTTTTAGACACGACCGTACATAGCTTAGTACAGGTCTTGGTGGGTGGGATGCCGCTCATTCGCGGCTTAAAAGTTGACAATACAAGTATTTTCAACTAATCCATCATGTCCTTTCATCGTGGCCCAAATCAATGGCGTGTTACCATGAAAGTCAGTTGCGTTTAGATCCCATTTCTTGATCCCAAATAAAGAAAGCATTATATCCCTGACATCGAGGAGGGCTCCACCGTGGAGCCCAGTGAATCCAACTGGGAAACCTGCACTATTGAAGGGCCTATTGGACACGAGTTCCTTCAATAAGAGTAGTTTACAAGATATGTGCGTATCGAATTGGTTGAGTAGATTTCGTGCTAGTAATATTACATTTCTGCTGGTTTCGATTCTACCATGTTTCCCCCAGTAGCAAGAAGCGTATTCAAGAAAAGGAGTTGTTGGTGGGGGTGAAGAAAGGGTCGGCGAGAGAGCCCTCATGCATGCAAAGTTTAGGTAGGTCAAGCATGCCTCTGCGATTGCCAAATTTGGGCTAGGGAAAAATATAGGGTTGGCTAGAATATACTCACATTAGAGTGAAATGCACGAGACTGACAATGGAAAATGATGAATCGACAGTGACCAGCCCTAGCCCGCAGTTCAATATGGTTCGTATCGAAGGGGTATTGTCACTGTTAAGATCTTTCGATCCTATTTCTATACCCAACGCTTGACACAGCACATCGGGCTTTAGTGGCCTCTCTGAATGTGCTACCAACATGATGGCCTCCATTCCTAGTCGCGATCGGTCATCCTTCTGCGCCCTGATTCTTTCCAAAGTGGCCGTGTATACGTCCCCTACATCCTGACCACTTGACATCTGTCTAAGCTTTCGTTTTCTCCTGTGAACCGTTGTCTCCGCGAGAATTGCGTCGATGCTGAGAGAAACTAGAAGAAAGCTAGATACAATTGTCAGCTTCTGCTAAATGCTGGAATACAAGGAATCTGTATGTACATCTCAGATATCATTTTCGGAATGATCTCCATGATATCAGCTCTTAGACGCTCGTCCATGGCGTCAGGTTCTGTATCCCCATCTAGCTTCATCCTCAAAATGCCTTTGTGTCTTCTTTTTTGGGACTAACAGAGATTGATCCCATACTCAGGAAGTGCTTCTCAACCTCAGTCCGGATGAAAGGCCTTCCGATCACAAATAGCTGGACATTTGGCAACTCCTGACCGATAGATTGCAGAGAGCTTAGAAGGCCAGTCCGATCTGCGGCGAGCAATTCGTCCAAGCCATCAATACATATAACCACCCGTTGTCTTTGGGCAATTGCCGCCTTCAGCATATCGACGAGCTCAGGAACTCGAGGGCCTACCCCGCCAAAATGGTTCTTTGCGATTTCGAAAGCTTTACGTATCTCCTCGGGAATGGGTCCGCTGCCGGCCAACTGCTTAAGCATGGCTCCCAGCATGTTTGATGTAGTCTGTCCCCTTCTGTCGAGGTAGTCGCAATACAGCCCGGCGACCGTGACAACCTCTCCGCTACCATAAAAATAATCAATTACGACAGAGCTAAAAATCCAAGTAGTTAGCGATGTGGGCGTTCTCCCGTGATCAGTTATGTTACCCAAGATGAGTCTTCCCCACACCTGGATCGCCATGGCAAAATATTACTGAATCAGGAGATCCATCTGCTCCCGTATCCCATTTCCGAAACTCACTTGTTTTAAAAATCCATTGCCCCACGCTCTCGAGTCGGTTCTCCCTTAAATGTTGATGTCTTTTCTCGGGCTTGAGGGGTGACAACCACCGTAGGACCTCAGATTTGTCATCCGCTATGGCTGTGTGGGCGATATATTGTTGAAACGATTGACATTGAATGACTTGTTCGCCTTACAGTCTATCCTGTTCGAAATCTAGGCGATGGGGGAGGTATGGAAAGATGTGTGTGTGCAGCCCTTGACCAGGAATGCGGGGAACGGATAATTTATTGTATCCTCTGGGGCGCTCTTGGGGGGTTGATACGAGTATTTGGCACATCTGGGACCCGCTTATCAGGCTCCGGATGGGTGCTGTGCTTGTGCTATCGTAGTACCGTATTGCACCCAACTCTACAGTGCCGGGGTCATATTTTTTTTCACTTAAGTTTTCAATCTGGAGGGGCTAAGGGTTGCAGAGTTAGGTTCGGTCGTAATTTTTTTCTATTCGTACCCCTTCGGCGCGGTTAATACAATGCTGTAGCAAGTCGCCGGGCCAAGGGGATTTGGGAGCTGGATTGAGAGTGAATCCTTGGGCTGATAAACCTACCGTATGTTGCTTATCTTTAGCACAGGAACTCGAATACTCGAGTACAGTACAGCCTACATCCAGTCCCAGGATTTAAAAACGTTTAGGCATCCGTAAAGCCTTGATTGCATTCAAAGCACTTTTTCGACCTCTGGGCTGAATGCTCCTAGCGGCACAGTAATCGGGTTGTCACATCCTGACATTTCCGGGACAGGGTTGACGCTAGGGTGGGGAAAATCGGCCAATCTGGCTACGCGATTGAAGAGGTTCTGAATGGGCTGTCAAGAACCGAGTCTCTGGGAGGAGGTTCGGTTATGGATTGTCTTGTTCCCTGAAGGTGTTTATTCTCCTCTGTGACGGATGCCAAGAGTTGGCTGGTGCGGGCTTCTGGACGATGTCGCAGGAGCACCGCTCGACTACATCTATACCCGGAGAGAGAGGAGGGAAGATCTTGCTATTCGTGGATCCCACTTTACATAGCCTTTATGGGCGAAGAAGTTTCTTTGCTGGGAACGACGACCGAGGGTCGGTTATTTGATGGTGAAAGGTTGCAAAAAATTGATTACTGATTGTGGCCATGACGGGAAAGTTGAATAAGGAATGCAGTGTTTTGTACTTGTAAATATTCACATAGGGGAGGGGGCAATGAACATAGCGGAGCCAATGAGCACAGGGGGTCTGGAAACCAACACACCAAAAAATCTGGTGGCAAACGTCAAATCTGGTGGGGCAGTTGGTTTTCCCTACTGGTATCATACCCCCTTATCTCTTGTCGTCCCCTTTGCTTGTGGTGTCGAAGGATATTTACCGGTAGACTACCGTACTCGTAAAGTGAACGGGTAACGGTATTCCAAACCACCCCGATTCGGGCAAGAGGGCCAAATTTCGGTGATAGGAAATGCTTGTGGAGTTCCTTCTTAAAAAAAGCTTCGACAGTAATAGCGCTATGTTACTCGTACCACACTGTTCAGGATTCGCGGATACGACGCTCCCTACCGCGAACAATAGGGACGCTGGAACCCGTGACAGGTATGACTGGTTACTTGTAATGGAGCTGACCCAAAAGTTGACAGCCTCCCTCAAGTCGTCGGCGACAAGTTTCCTTTTTCAATAAGCACAGTTCGGGAGCCGATATCCGTCCCCCCCAGATAGTCAATGCAACCCACAATTTCTGTGCAGTGTTGTGGTGCTGTAATATATTGAGTGAGAGCAAGGAAACCACTCAGTCGAAATATCGGTACTGTGAATGAGTAACTTACGGAGTGAGGTGTTGCACCGCACCTTCTAACAATATGCATTTCTACGCACCGTAGTCGTACCGAGAAAGTCATACGGAATTTAGTTCGGGGGTTAATTTCCCCGCCTTGCTCCAGTACCCCCTGGCTCGGCTTGCCGGTGTTACCAAGGCCCCGCAGCTGATTGATGGAATTTATATAAACTCGATTACTCGCGACAAATATACCAGCCGACCAACAAATAGTGGCAAGGTGAGCAGGTGTAAAATAACCACTCATTTGTCCATTCGAAAGTGCCCTTCTACCGTATTGATCAGAGATATTGCCGTCGCCAATAGGATACTCAGAGTCCTTAGAAGACTTCAGCCCGTGTGTAGATATGTGACTACCATACTGTGTCTACTTTGGCAATTTCAGCAAGCTCGGCAGTGCCCCATCCTGTGTAACAGAGTAAGTGAGGGTAGGCAGTTATAGTAAGACGCTTTGGGCAAGATACCAGAGAATTGGTCCTTGCCATAGGGGAAAAAGCATTCGTTGATTCGCGCATTTATTCTGGAAGGGAGTTGCCTACTTATACGGGACATGGATAGACCCTCATCACGTATTGCCGGAAACGGGTAAGGTGCGGTGTAAGGTGTGGTGTGATGTGGTTGGCGAGAATACGAGGGAACAACAGTGTAGGGAAGGAACAGAAGGGGGGCACTGCCTGCTTTGTTACGCGAAGGGGTTGGAGGTCTTCAGTTATTCTAAATAATGAATGAAGGGGTGTGAACCAACGATCGTTAGCATCCCCTTGGAGAGAGTAGAGAGCCCCTGATATCTCCTCTACCGGTGTCATCGTGTTCGGTCCTACACTGTATCTTCTTTTACCAGATAATAAGTATATAAACCTCCACTACCACCTCCCTCTCCAACCTCTCCTACCTCTGGCATCCGCCATCACCGCCGTGCTCGCAGATATAACTAGACCACGGTATTTTCACTACCCTTCACCTCAAAATTCTCAATACTCACAATCTCAAGCATCCAACTTTAACTACCAACCCATCACTATATACGTGAGCGAAATGAGAATGCAATTCAGACCCGTTCTCCTAATGGCCCTCCTGACGGCCATCACCAGCGCCACCGCTGTCCCTGCCACAAAATTGCCCTGCGACAGCGACATGCACCCTTGCAATCTTTATGCAAACGAAGTAGACTGCTCACCAGAGTATGTCAGACTTTTGCAATTGTACGTTTTACTCCTTTCTTTGTTTTCTCTTGGCTGTATATCGGGATGAGTTGTGTGTCAACTGACGATGGAAACAGGTGCGTGGATAGCGGATGTATTCAGTGGATTATAGATCCTTTGCAGCATTGTCGGGGGGATACTTATTAAGATACTGTTTGAGTTCGTATAGCCGTGGGAGATATTGTGTGCGGTGGTGGGGAAAGGGGGTTGGGAGGATATAAAAGTGTTTGAAGGGGGGCTGAGGGTATGGGTTGGAAACTGGTCAAGGGATAACATCTCGATCTTCTCGTATACTGTACTTTCGTTCTTGTGAGGTTGATTGTTGTCTTGTTAATTAAGTACCCGTGGAATACTACAAGAACCCTTGATAATTTCCTCTGTGTACGGTCGTGAAGCATCACTGAGAGAGTTGGATACCCGGGCCCTCAGCGAAAGGATAAACTCGGGAGCACATACGGTACAGTGTTGGTATGGTCCTCAGTACGGTACTCGAGTACGGTGACTACGCGGTGAACTTCCCTACCGGCGGGAATGGGGAATATATACTAAAATATATATATGTGTGTGTCTTCTGAAGATGTGTTTTGGGCACTGTAAGCCGAGTGGGCTGATTTGCCCACCTAACTTATGGACTTCGGGTTGTGTCTAGTCAAGTGGGTTGATACCGATCGGGGCGTACTCGAATAGGCCGCGGGGGTGCCTGGTTCCCCGTGTGAGCGGGTATTGTATGAGTACGGGGTGCTCAATCCTCTTGTCAACCCCGGGTTCAGAAATAGTGCTATGTTAGCGCTCCAAGTGTGAGTTCATCGAGCAAGGGTCTGTGCTCCACAAGTACGGTACTGTTAGGGGAGAACATGGGCACAGCATGGAGTTACATGTAGACGGAGGAAGTTTCGTCATCAGTACTGGTAGTACTATGGGTAAGTGCCAGTGACCCTTTGATCTCATCAAGTTTCCATCCCTACCATTGGAAATAGCTCTCGTTATCTGCACCCCACTCTGCTCCTTTCTACATGCTTATCCAAGTTGTTTTCTGTTGTGTGGAGAAGGCTGATGATATGTGTGAACACACCCCCTTAGAGAGCCAAACAGCAACCGCTTTTCGCATACAGGAGGATTGTGCCCAGGTGCATCTAGGGTCATTAGACTTCCTTACTGCCAATACCTGAAAAGAACGCCTTGGCAAACACGGCCATTCACAGTACTTGTACCGTACTCGTACACTTTAGACTCGGATGGTCAGCAGCTGGTGGCAAGCCTGGATCGTCGGCTACTGCACTCGAGTACTCGTCTTCGCTGGGAATACCTCCGCCACCCGATATTTTGCTGGAGTCTTTTATCCTACCTTAAGTTTTGAGTACCGGGATCCAATACATAGGAATCAACCTAAGTAGGGTAACACCACTCAGAATAGGAATCTCTATTCTCCAACACCAGCCTCTGGCCCTCTTATGGGACCAGTATGTCATCATACATGTTGATCTCAGTTGTGTCCTGTGACTATAATACCGCAGAAGTGAAAGTGTAAGATTAACACTATATATGTCACTGCCATTTGTCCGACTGGATCCTGTTTACTGGATCGATGAGAGAAGAGCTTTGACTAGGTCTGAGAAGTAGAATAGAGTAAATCCATCAACTACTCAGAGAGCTACTAGGCTTCAATGATGGAACAAGTTTGGCAATAGGCCGTCCGTAATGGGTCGTTTTCACATAAAGATATGTTATTAAATGTTAGAGGATCTCTATCAGAATCCAATACATTTGCACCCACTCTAAAATAACTAGAAGAGTTTAGAACTCCGAGGAATACTACCACACAAGCCAATGGACTTCCTGAATTATTACAACTGTGTCCCGGAATGTGTTGTCATCGCTGGAATGGTTCCTAATACTAAAACAGTAGTTGAAACCCAGTTACCCAGGGCAATCAAGAGTTTCAAACTGAGTGCATATCTGCCTATCTGGTAGAATAGCTTCTCACTAATTAGTAGAAAGTTATCTGGAAGATATCCATATGTTGGATTCTGAGTTATGGAGGTTTAAAATCTGGGAACCTAGAAAGGTTGCAATTATGCCTACCTTTGTAGATACAATCCACAGATAAAACTGATCATTTCTTGAATGACAGAGATAATTGGAATCAACTCAGTTCTACTTAAAACTTAAGCTATAAGTCTAAAGGCTCTAAATATCCGATAATTACTATTGGGAACAGTATTGTTCTGAGGTTAATAAAATGGTAATTACTGAAGAGGATGTGGTAGCTTTCAGAGTCTTTAGAGGTTCGCATCTTTGAAAAATAGCTGATACTAGAAGTTATAATCAGAGAGGTACATGATTTGTATAATAAATCAATGTAGTCCACAAACACTCAGATGTGGAATATAAATATTGAAAGGCATTCAACTTTTAGATATCATCAAGCAAGGAAGAGACTTTGACAATATATTATTGTTCTTACAATTCTATTCTACTTTACATATTTTACTTGGCTCTTAGTAGTTATAAATAAAATGAATGTATTTACAGCCTTCTAAGTCAATCTCCATCTACAGAAACAAATCTTTATTGGTTTAGACAACTCTGAGTCTATACAGGTTATCTCTACCTAGTGGTATATTGCTAGATCTCCTTGTTACTAAGGCTCTCTATCTATCTACCCACTTCCTCCTACTGCACAATGTGGCCAGGACACCAAGTATCCTGTCACATATTCTACATAAACGTAAACTTCTAAAAATGAGTGCTTTGTAACCTACCTATGAGAAAATGAAAAAGCTTGCAGAAGAGCAATGGAGATACTACACCTTCCTAAGTAAATCACTCTATTGGAACTACGGGATACCTCAGGAGATCATTATTTCACAACTTCCAGTCATTCATCTTCTCTCTCTTTAGCTCTCTGAAAACCTTTAGTAGGACCAGCAGGCAAAGCTCCCAGTATTCCTCCATCTTCAAGAGCATCCTCTACCATTTGAAGATCCTTTATACCATGTCCGAATACACATGCAGCAGACCTCACAAGACTTGCTACTTGGGTAGGAATAGTCATTGGTCAAATATGACAAGATATTTTAACTAGTATTAATACTGCCAATATTGCCTTTAACATACAGTCAGCCAACTCATAGGCCAATGTGCAAGGGCTGATAGATGTCCAGCAATGATTTCTGAAAAGAAAAGATATACATAACAGTGACATAGCTATTATATTATGACAGTAGGGTGTAGTAGAGGTAAACATCCATGAAATTCAAGAAAGGATCAAAATTGAAATTGCTGCCAAATCAGCAGCCCAAGATGTATGACAAGAGCAGTATGAGGAGGTAATCAGGCAACTGCAGCGAGAAGCTCTCAAATGTGACCTCAAACTGGAACGAGTATTCTAGGCATTTAGAGTACAACACACTCAACAAAATAAAGCAGTTGGAATCTTAATATCAAACCTGGGTGCTGGGTAAGAACAGGAGGTAGAATACTTTGGTGACTTTACATGTACAATTCAAAGAAACCAAGACTGAGTATCCGATACCTTGGCCCAAGTACTTGACGGAATTAAAGTACTAGATGGCACACACCTGAGTGGTCGATACATGATATTGGAGTCAGTCTTAGAAGAGTAGGAAGATGTAAGAGAAAGAGAAGAAGAAGAGGAGACCACTAGAAATAAGGAGAAACTCAGGGAAGGAGAAACTCAGGGAAGGAGAACCCTCAACTCCAATAATGCCTAGCTACGACCCAGATAATAGGAGTGATGATGAGGATGACAGAGGGAATAGAGGAAAGTGTATAGGAGAACTAGCTAGATTTAGATAGAGTTAACCTCGGAGTAACTAGTAGCAGCTAATATGTTTAGAAAAGTATTGGTCCAAACTATTAAGCGACATGCAGATCTGCCACTATTTGCCGAAATAAAGTCAAGTTGATGTGTCTTGTATTAGGCAATACAATGTGTGGATTACATTGAAAACAATCTCAGTATTTGAGATAATGATTGGAAATGTATTATCTTTACTTTTAGGAGAATACATGTATATCCAGTCCACACGATAGCACTATGGTATCAACATGCAATGGATAGCTTCTGAATCGAAGAACAAGACCCAAATCTGTACTCAAGTAATAGTTTTGAAAACAAATTTACCAGTCACTACATACCTCTCCAGGAAGGGCCTAAAGCTAAGTGAGACATGGAATCAGTCATGTATAAATGTAATATTCACAACTTTATGGGGAAAATGCATAATCTGAATCTTTATACTCGACTAACAAGACCTGCCTGGAGTATGGTGGTAGATAGCAAGTTGCTTGCCAAAGTGAAATGGTAACTTTCACTGAATAAATATGATACTAACATGTAATGGTAGAAGTTAGTCCACCAAGCAGGAAGGGACCAGGATGAATAACAGGAGTTATACCACCTAGTACAGGATAAACCAAAACCCCCTAAGCTATTCTCAGACTAAAAACCTGCTCACAAAAATTAACCAAAGGTAAAAAGAGAGAAACCCTGTATGAAGAAAGGTGGTCTCTCCAAAAAGTGAAAGCAGAAACCGGAGTGTGAGAAACCAGCAAGGTGATTTATTGGGACAATGAAGTTGATACATAGGAGATTGAAAAAGACCAATGAGGGAATTTTCAAGTCAATAATTAATGAAAGAATGTGGGGAAGAAAATGTACTTATTGTGGAAAAGAAACCCTTTAGTACAAAACCTGCTGGGAACAAATCCAGTTGTCTAGAACAAGGGCAGAGGACTGCCAATTCAATATACTAAGGCACAGAATGGTAGTGGAAGTTCACCATCCCAGAAAGATTTCTACCGTCTAAATTCTAAGAAGCAATAAGCTCTCAGAACTAGGCAAAGATGAGGAAATGACTTAGGTTACTTTATTAGTACCAACAACGACAGTGTTCATGTAGTCTAGAAGAGACATACTTTCTAGGAACTGAAATCAAGGGCAAAAGGAGATGTCGAAGTTAAGAAATTAACCATGCATTTGTGATCTGAGTGGAAGTACATGTATCCTTCTTGCTCCAAGGTTAAGAGGATCAATAAAGAGTAATGTATATATTAGCAGCACCTCTATACTTTTCAAGTGAGTGTTGCAAGTTCAGTCCTAATAGCCCAATACATGTTTATTAAGGTAGTCTGGCAAGTGACCTGGAAATTGAAAGGTCTCTGATAAAGACTAAAACCTAGAGAGGAAACAGACAGCACCAATGGTACCGAACAGGGAATGACAGTAGGGCTAAGAGAAAGGATCTAGAGTGATAGAAGAAGCACATCTTTGACCAATATGAAGAATAGGTACAAGAGTTATAGACCTTACCTTTAGTAACTACTTCTTAAGTACGGCACAGGTACCAAA